GAAGATTTCATTTAAATGTAATAGAGCATTATAAAGCGCTAATAATAAGAGTAGAGAGAGGTTCATCACGTGACCACATTTAACCTCTCTCTCACTCTTATAAGCTTCAATGCCAGTCTAGCAGACTCCCAGACTCCATCTTAACGCAGCCTTATGCTAAATAATTGATGCGCTATTGCGAGTCACTGCTATTTGTTATTGCTATGTTATGAAATTTTCTCGTGCACCGGTGCCGATTTCTTCGTAGACGACTAGTGCGCGAATGGCGTTCCTTGCGAACTGTACAAGTATATGCTAAGTCGATCTTCACACACACTGTTTTAAAAAAATAATAGATTAATATTACTTAAGGTTAAGGTTCCTATTTAAATAATGTACTTTTCACTCATTAAAATTTAGATTAGTTTTTGATAATTTCCATGTAACTGAAATACTTGTAAAGCATTTTAAAGTTTGACTTGGTCATTAAAAGAATTCAATACGTCTTATAAATGCGTAGCTTATCAAACTGAGGGTTGTTAAAACGTGTTGCTAAGCGCATAGCAGCGATAGCTCCACTTAAAGCACAAGAATAGTGGCTTCCAAGGTGGTAACAACTTGCTATTATTCTTACTGTAATCCATTACTAGCTCGTCATTTGAAATCTGTGCTTCTTCACGGTTACACATTTAGAGTTAGTGCATTATCATGTATCTTAACCTTCTTGCCTCTTCATAGTTTGTCCAGCATATTGCTTGGACATTCGATCATTTTGCGATTGTAAAGTTTAATCATGGGAATCATAAGTATTTCTAGTATGCAAGTTAAAGGAAACTTGCAGGGAGTAAAACGAAGTTCTAAAAAATGGCTAGACTTGTTCTCGATACGGCACTGGACAGCACTGTTCCTCAATATCTTCCTATTTTCAGGTAAGTACTTTTACAGTAATCTTAATTGACTCTCAAGTTACCTGCGTTATTGTAGCTGATACAAATCTTAAAGATGTTCGTGCTTATAAATTTAACTGTTACTGTGTAGGAATAAATTTAAACAGTTTATGATGTGCCTAAGTTTTTTTAGTGTCTGTGTGTGATAAAGAAGCGTTTTTTTTTTTTTTTTTTTTTTGTGGAGGGAGGGGAAACGCATAAAACATTGCTATAACGTTTTTATTAAGAAAAAAAATGGAATCTATCAAATATTCCGTTCTTCTAACTAATGTAACTACATTTATTTCATTATGGTAAAATCTCCAAGTGATTTAAAACGTATTACAATATGCAGTCTATTCAATAACTTCACTAATGGTAGCTTGCACAACAAGGTAAAATTTTTGCATCATTATTCAAAACGTCCTGTTAACAAATATGAAAAAATATGCTCATTTTATACAGTTAACAGGATTCAGACCTAACACGTAGTTCAGCAGAAATCTTATACTTCAAAACTCATCCACAAAGTGCATTGATTATTCTGAAGTTAATATGTCCTAGTATTTCATTAGAAATGATTCAATGTTACAAGAAACTAAAATAGTTTAAAAAGTTTATATAAGGCTACTTAAAACACTACAACTAAATGAAACTCACAGGCTGGTTACTTTGTACATAATAACTATAACTTATGAGCATTCCATGAGTATAGTAATATTAATATGTAGTGGTAGTGAATGGAGTTGGTAATAAATTTATAACAAAAAAGTCTACAAATCGATATGGTTTACTCATAAGTAAGAATATTTGTATGGGACGCTTGGGCTATACATTAATTGTAGACTAATAGTTTTTGTATCCATGGTTATAAATTTCATACAGTTATAGATTGCTAATTGGTGAACTTTTTTATTTCGTTACTAATCGCTAGGTGCGTAGCACGCAGTGCCTCCAGCACAGCGTCGGAAAAGTGAAACTCAGGTGCCATAATATGTGCAGATGACAGATGAGAGAAAAAACTTAAAAAATTTAGCGGGTCAGAACAATTTCGAGATTACTCAACAAGTATATGTATACATACACGTTGATAGCGTCGTCTGCAAGCTTTCGCGACCAAGTTGCACTAAATGCTTACCGTGGACACTTAGATCATTTTGCCTATCCCCTAAACTACCTACATCTATAGTGAATAGATTACGTAATAAAACAAATTCATAACTATATATAAAAGTCTCTAGTAATGTAATACACACTTATTTGTAGGTATGGAAAGATATGAAGATAAATATACATGAACAGGTATGCAAAAGCAAAAGCGTTGGTAAAAAAACTTTGATGTAATTTTAAAAACTATAAACACAGTAGTACTAGAGTAATAAAAATCCAATAAATGGATCATAAACAACCTAAACAAATAGCAAATTTGTTTTTGATAGATTTTATTTGTGTCATTTTCAACAGTTTGCATACTGTGAGAAGTTGGCTCTAACAATAGTTGTTTTTTACACTTTTTCAAAACGGGGTCCAAAAATCTGCCATGAGCTCCTGATATATAAACCCAAAACTTTGAATTTACTTAAGATCTCAATTTTTGACATATGCGTACCTAAACACTGTGGAAGTACGTTGCAGTGTACAACAACGGGCAGAACATATACTAAAACGGGTATCCCTATACACTGAAGTTTGAACAAATTTTTTTACGCCATAATTTATAATTACAATTTTTTGACGTGATTTAATTTTTCATAACTCGGATTTATATATGCATTACCTCTTATTGGTAAAATATCATAATTATCAATGTTTGTACATGTAGGTTGCAATGGTGATAAACCCCAGCTTCATCCTAACGTCACTGAGTTGGAAATAAACGAAGGAGAAGCCTTGGAAATCAAATGCACAAGTAATGAATATGTGAAGTTCTATTATCCAGATCCTTATTATCTAGGGGGTAAAAGTTGAACAGATTTAGTATACAGAATGTTTTAATGCAATGTATTTTTTTCTCAAATAAATGCGAATATTTCTTATACGTCAATAGATAATGATGTCTGATTATGCCATTTACCAAAAAGAAATGAGCAAAAATAAAACGTTTTTGAAAGAGTCAACTCTTATTGGAGACTCTGGTTGGTATGGTTGCGCTAATTTAAATGAGAAAATCGCACGCAAAATAAGTAAGGACGCAAATGACCCAAGTATCAGTTAGATGTATATTTATGTTAAATGTAAGAATATTGATATTAACATATTTTTAACTAAACTTTAAAAAAATACAATTTAATTTACTAGCAAAGCTACTTAAATTTATGAAAGCTAATTCAGTGTTTTTTATGTGTATTTTTACTCAGCTACAAATAGTACTTTCATCCAACCAAACAGGTATGCACTACTACCACCTGTAGCATGTTTACCTTACTTTGTGATTTTTCCGTGCTGAACGACTTCGCGTGAAATCAACGTGACACTAACAACAAGTGATGCTGTAAAATTAACGTTTTTTTGAAACTTGTATATTTTTAGAAAATTATAATACAAATAATATAATATACATAAGGAATTGCCGGAAATTGTTTTCAGGAATGCGTTTTTCGATCCTAAAATTAGTTTCATCCTACAGAATGTAGGTTTTAACAGTCCTGAAAAACGATTTCCTCGTTTAACTTGTAAAGCTTATGATGGTGATATTACGACCAAGACGATGACATTTTCCAGAAGCTATTATATTATAACGGTTGCATGAGTAAACCAACTGTAAAAATAAAAGGACGGCAGACAGTTTTTGTAGGCTCTTCATTGACTGTTACCTATACAGTTAAAATCTACGTAAAAAGTTCTAACATTATCTCCTGGAAAACTCCACAAAACTCGGTAAGAGAATTTTAACTTGTGTATGCACGATTCTGACAGCCATTCATACAGTAATTAAGAGTGTGTATATTATATCATATTTAAATGCTTCTGAAAACAATTTAATAAGTGTAAGGATTAGTCCTCCACATTAATTTTAGACCAGATGCAAGTGGCAGAAAATGATAACGTCGATTCCGTAACATCCAAACTTATCATACGAAGTGTGACTTACGCGGACGAGGGTAATTAGAATTGCCAAGTAAGATCTTTGTTTGATGAACAACGTAGTACAAACATATTTATAGAAGTACACGGTACGTTTTATGAATCACTAAATTTTAAATTTTTTATAAATATGAAAGCAAAAACTTAAGTTTGTTACACGTATTCCTTGTCACAGAACAAAATTCTCATATTTCCCTAACATCTAATAACAGAGACATAATAGCTTATAGCGTTGGTCATGTGGTGTTGCTTACAGTTAACATTGATGCTTATCCACCACCAACTATCTGGTGGTAATAGTTGCACTTTCATACAGTTATAAATGTAATCCAAAAATTAATTATTCATGAAAACTTTTAGTATTAAAGATTAAATTTTTTAAGCTTACATCAAATGGTACCGAAATTGTTTTTGGAAAAAATTTCCGTTTGCCTCAATTTAAACGACAATATCCGAAGTATACAGAAAAAAATTTAATGATATCTAATATTCAGTTAAAAGATGGGAGGATTCATACTTTCCGAGCAAACAATACCAATAAAAAAAAGCTCTTGAATGTTTTAGTAAAAGTTTACGGTAATTTTATTAAAATTCTTACTGCTATACCCTTTAATGGAGAAAAATTATACTTACAAAGCCCATTCTTTATATAAATAACAAATTTTTTTGCGTTTGCAGAAAAGCCTCGTGTTACATTTAATCAAGCAGAACTCAAGTCCTTTTACAGTCTTAACGAAAGTGCAACGTTTGCTTGTCAAGCCACTGGCCATCCTGCGCCTAATATATCATGGTTTTACACAATGTGCCCAGATTATTCTATGTATTATTCTATGTATAATTGTAAAAAAGTGGAAGTGGAGGTTTTCTTTGTTTAGATATATATACATATGTATAAGTACATGAAAAAATTAAAAAAAGAAAATTTCTGTCAATTTAAAACTAATTTCACATTTCAAGGGTAAACAGAGTAGGAATAGGACGTATTTAGAGTTAAAAGTTAGCATGGAGTAGATGGGAAAAATTATTTGCAAGGCTTGCCATGCCTACGATTGCGACTCAGAGGAATACAATATTCAAATTACCGGTAAGCAGAGTTTTTCAACGTTCTGGGGTCTATTTTTATTTTAAAGAAAATTTTTCAGATTATTTTTTCACATCTCTTTTTCCAGATGGAGTCGACAATGCGCCTTACGAAATTATAGGTCCAGAAGAAGCATACAATGGTGAAAATATTACTCTTATCTGTGCTGCTGTTAAACATGACCATCTATCTGTAACTTGGTTAGATGACCAGTTACAAGAGATAACTAATTCTGGTAAGTTTCAAATTACTTTCTCTTTAAAAAATTAGGTTTTTGCAAAATGTTCTGCTTGACCATACAATTAATACTATTTTATTTGGATTTCAGCAAAAGAGCATGTTACTTCAAAGAGGACTAAATTAACTATTTGTAAAGAACTTGTGATCTATAACATAAATCAATTAGACGAGAAAGACTATCACTGCAGTGTTATGTCTGATACAAAGTCAACAAAAATTATAAGTTACCATGTCAATTTTAAATGTAATTAAATTTTAAATGTTACCTAAATACGTAACTTTACACATTATATTTAAAAAAATTATATCAGTAAAAATGGTTAAAATTTAAATAATAATAAAAAGAATTATTATCATTGTTTTTATTTTCATTTCATATTAACAAATAACATTTCTTGACAATCATATTATTATAACTCCCAGTTAAATCATGTTTATCTTTGTAGTGTGGAAGAAGCCTTATTTTATAAGAGATAATATGAATTCCACTAGTACAATCGTATCAACAACAGATACTCGAAATTTTATTCATTTATTTTGTTTTGTCGGAGGATCGCCAGGACCGAACATTACATGGTACAAGGATGATGCACTTTTAAATCTTTCGGAAGATCGATTTAGCCTTGTATTTAGTGATCAAAAATTAATTATAAGACATCCAGTGAAAGATGATAGAGGTAATAATTTCTGTCGTGCTGAAAACCGATTCGGGAAAATAGAAAAATATCGAAAAGTCAACGTAACAGGTAAACAAATCAGTATATGTGTTTATTTGTGAATTCTTTGTATTAAATGAAACAATCCTTTTATATTAAATTATTTCGTTACAATGTATTGTATACAAGTAAATATTTAATTTCTTCTCAAAATTAAATCTAACATAAAACATTTTACATATAAAATTCAAGGCGGAAAGAGGCTAATGCTGTGTAAATCTTTGCGTAAGAAAATTAGAATTAAATTACTTTATAATACTTAATAATGTGTATTAAAGCGCAAAGCTTGTTTATGTGTTACTTCGAACTACAACTTGAACCTACTTTTTTTTAATTAAATAATATAACAATAAAATAAAATTAATCAAATATTTTATAACATGTGTCATTAAAAGTATCGATAACATATATATTTTTTAGCTTTTGTGTACATCTTCACTTTGAATTTTATGCAATGTTTTGTGTTAAGTATAACTAAATCATTTTAACATTGTTATAACACTGTAGTTTGAAGATCATTTTCAATTATTTAAAATATCTGAAACAATTTGTTACCTCTTACATGTGTTTTCAATATTATTAATTATATTTTCCAGGCTAACTCAATACTGGGAAAAAACTCTCGAACGTTTTTATTAATAACTACGCAATTATCAACTTGTTTTCTCATATTGATGATAAGATCATTTCGTACCAATCTGAGTTTAACGCCATGAATTCGATACTTTTATTTCAATATTATCATATTTTATTAACATTTCATAAAATCTCACCAAGTTTACATGAGTGTTAAAAAATAGTGTTATCTTATTCGTGTATACTATCAAATTGTGGTCATATTTCTAGGTATATCGTTGATCAAGTTTGTTCGTAAAAGTTCAAAAATATTTTAAATACTTTGCGACGTACATACAGATTCGCAAAAGAACCAGTTTTATGATAAACTATTTTGATTCATAGAGTTTAAACAAAGATATTTTGTTATCATTGATTGTTATTATTCTTGAAAATATCATCTACTTGTATTTCCAAATCCTAGGCAATATAGATATTTTGTCCAAGGCGATTTGGTAAAAGTTTAATAGTTACTAAATTATTTGTACAAAAAGCTGTATTGGCTACAGGAGCACGTCTAGAAATATTATGAAGGCCCTCTCTGAACTCGTAGACCATTAAATTCCTAATTCATGTTTATCATACATGATTATACAATTGACCATAAAAATTACTTTAACTATTATATTTTTTTTTCTTATATTCTCACTAAAGGTTTTTATTAACCCCTTCATTCAGGGAAAAAAAAATTTTTTTCTGGATTTACTAATTACATAACTAAGATGGTTCAAAGTACTAAGACTGCGGTTTTAAGTCTGCAAAAAAGTCCTACAGAGCTTATTACACTATGAGAGAATGTGCCTTAAATACTTATTACATTTACACAATTTAATTACACCTTCAAGCTGGAAAATGTGTATCTTGCGCATGAAAGGGTGATACATCTACAACATTGGGATGCAGAGAATCATTGCAAAAATGAAAAAACATTACCTTTATCAACTTTACTTTATATTTTAATAAGATATTACGAAAAAAATTATATCAGTAAAAATGGTTAAAATTTAAATAATAATAAAAAGAATTATTATCATTGTTTTTATTTTCATTTCATATTAACAAATAACATTTCTTGACAATCNAGTTTAAGGATCATTTTTAATTATTTAAAATATCTAAAACAATTTATTACCTCTTACATGTAATTTCAATATCAATGAGTATATTTTCCATGCTAACCTAATACCGGGAGAACACTCTCGAACGTTTTTATTGATAACTACGCAATCATCAACTTGTTTTCTCATCTTGATGATAAGATCATTTCGTATCAATCTGAGTTAAACGCACTAAATTCGATACTTTTATTTCAATATCATCATATTTTATTAACATTTTATAAAATCTCACTAAGTTTACATGAGTTTTAAAAAATAGTGTTATCTCATTCATGTATACTATCAAATTGTGGTCATATTTCTAGGTATATCGTTGATCTAATTTGTTCGTAAAAGTTCAAAGATATTTCAAATACATTGCGACGTATAGAAAAATTCGCAAAAGAACCAGTTATATGATAAACTATTTTGATTCATAGAGTTTAAACGAAAAATTTTTGTTATTGTTGGTTGTTATTATTCTTGAAAATATCATCTACTTGTATCTTTAAATCCTTAGCAATATAGATATTTTGTCTAAGGTGATTTAGTAAACCTTCAATAGTTGCTGAATTATTTGTACGAAAAGCTGTATTGACGACAGGAGCACGTCTAGAAATATTATGAAGGCCCTCTATGAACTCGTAGACCATTAAATTCCTAATTCTTGTTTATCATACATGATTATACAATTGACCATAAAAATTACTTACACTAATATATTTTTTTCTCTTCTATTCTCACTGAAGGTTTTTATTAACCCCTTCATTCAGGGAAAAAGAATATTTTTTCTGGATGCACTAATTGCATAACTAAGATGGTTAAAATCACTAAGACTGCGGTTTTAAGTCTGCAAAAAAGTCCTACAGAGCTTATTACACTATGAGAGAATGTGCCTTAAATACTCATTACATTTACACAATTCAATTACACCTTCAAGCTGAAAAATGTGTATCGTGCGCATGAAAGAGTGATATATCTAAAACATTGGGATGCAGAGAATCATTGCAATAATGAAAAATCATTACTTTTATCAACTTTTCTTCAAATTTCAATAAGATATTACGAAAAAAATTGTATCAGGATGTGTATTATATAGAATCAGTATCAATAATCATTCACTCACAACATAAACAAGGTCTCAAGAACTTTTGGATTAATAAAACTTTGAAATGGACTCCCGTTTATTAACAAGGAAACTGAGTCAGGATGTGTATTATATAGAATCAGTATCAATAATCATTCATTTACAACATAAACAAGTTCTCAAGAACTTTTGGATTAATAAAACTTTGAAATTGACTCCCATTTATTAACAAGGAAACTGAGCACATCGAAAAAATTAAATTAAAGATCTATTTATTCTTAGTAAATATTTAGCAAATTGTTGGGTATCAAATCAAATCAACGACAGCACTAGAAAAACCTATAAAATGATACCAAAGTTAGTTTATATCTAATTTACATCCAAGTTATACATTATAGACACACTTGAATTGTTGAGGTAACAAATCAAATCAAAGACAGCACTAGAAAAACCTATAAAATGATATCAAAGTTAGTTTATATCTAATTTTCATCCAAGTTATACATTATAGACACACTTGAATTGTTGAGGTATTAAAATTAAAAAGTATAAATTACTTATTAACACTATGTTGATAGCTTATACATTTTTAGAATTGTTTCGTTAATTTTATGAACAATTTAATTAACGAAGTCAAAAATTGATATCGTTGTTAAAAAACTTTTCTCCATATTTTCGGCGATTTTTCAACATTTAAGTCTTCCATTTTCAATTCCTTATGGCTTAATTTTGACCTTGCATCAAATATTTTTTGATAAAAATGTAATTAATATTTTACTGTTGTGCATCCCATTCTTGTTTTTAAATCTATATTTCCAGTTAGTAAGGGCTTATTATACACAGTGGATACTTATATCTCATATCATACAACGAGTATAAAAGAGAGTATAAATTGTTTAATTATAGCTCAATTGTAAGACAGTAAATTCGTTTATAATAAATGTTCTAAAAGCTTCAGTATAGTAGCGTCACATTTCTACACGATTGTGGTATCTTGGTTTAACACCAAAGTTGCTCTTTTTTTTAAAGTTGAGGAATAGTTTTCTGAATTATTCATAGAAACTTTCACCACGGACAATATTCATATACGATCGATCATGATTTTAGAGGTTAAAAAACGCTATCTTCAACTAACAACGGTAGTTTGTTTCATCACAATTCTTATTTTACTTTCTGTATACCCTTGTTTAAAAGTACAACATGAAAAGGTAAGATAATATTTGGTACTAAAAGTTCTGAATAATTTATAAAATATCTAGAAATTTCATTTATAATTTATTAATTCTAAAAAGATAATGAGGAAGCCGTAATCAAAAGCTGGTTTTGCTTATTTTGAAGAAGGAGCTGTTGTTTTTATGAATCCAGAACTAACAGTTAACGAGCAAGCCGAGTATCTTCCATATGATAAAAAGTGGGAATTTGCTAGAGAAAAATTAAAGTTAGGTATGAAACATAAGTTTACCGCGAAGCAATAGCTATGATAACCAGTTTTAATGGACAAATTGTGATATTTAAGATTACAGGTGAACAGCTGGAAAGTGGAGCTTTTCGGATTGTAGTAAGAGCAGAAGCTTCTGGTATATGTGCCACAGAGCCTGTTACGAGTGTGGTTGTAAAAATGGTTCACGAAAATGCTGAACCAGTTTATATCCGTGCTCTTGTAAGAGAACTTAAAATTATGATGAATCTGGGGCAACATTTGAACGTAGTTAATCTTCTCGGCGCCTGTACAAAAAATATAGCAAAACGTTTGAATTCTTATGGCATTATTTATAATAATAGTTGACACTTTTAAATAAAAAGCAATTCATTTTGCAGAGGAGTTTTTAGTGATTCATGAATCGTGTGCTTATGGAAACCTGGAAGACTATTTAAGATATCATAGAAGAAATTTTGTAGACCAAATTAATCCATCTACGGGTCATATTGATTCACCTACTAAGCAAAAATTCACAAGGTACTTATTTTATGTTCGTATTCCTTTAATTAAAATTAGAACTCATAATAAAATCACAGGCTATATAATGGCACAATTTTTGTCGTCAAACATGCGCAATTTTTTTCACTATGTTGCAATAAAATGCATGATCAATGGAACTTTTGCGTAAGAAGTACGAACAGTATTATATTTTGTTCCGTCGAGAGACGGAAATCAAACAAAGCGTTTGTATACGGTTCAACTCAAATACACCTTTTGTTGCGTGTGAACACAGCCGATCCCACGTGGATTGCCTGGTTCGAATTTAAAGGAATGAGATATAGATACAGGGGGGGGGTGTACTGTATNCACTAAAAAATATATTTAGTTTATTTCTTTGTACTTTTATATTGTCACGTTTAGTATGGAACATACTACGTGGGGCGGGCTTAAGCTATTAGTATTAGGAAGGAGCACAAGTGGGGAAAGAGAGAGCATAAAAAGGCTCGCAGCAGTGGCCACAGGGCTCTTGAACGTCAAGACTAGAAGGAGGATAGTCGCAATAAGTCACCCGCGACCGCAAATCGCCTTCCCTCAAGAAATATAGCAATAAAATGATTGATTGAGTTTAACTGCCGCGTTGTTATTAAGCACCCCAAACCTTTAGAATCCTACGTAACAATATACTTAAAAGTGTGTCTTTCCCTACTTATTTTTTATTTTGTAATTATTGTAGATCAAAGCTATTTGTTAATGTAAATTATTAGAAAATCAAATACTCAAAGAAAAACGATGATTAGGAACTGTAGGGTTTTTTACTACACAGATGATGACTATATGAATCATATACATACATATTTACATTTTTCAATAACTAGAGCAAAAAACCTGGATTCAGAATCATACAGTCATGTAAGAACGGCATTCAGCAACAGTGATGCAAACTTTCCCTTTACCAAGGCTCAGAACTTTAATGATTCTATTGAGTTCCGTAGTGCCTCTTACTGTGATGATCTACAATTAAGTTGGCGTTCTAACTACGAAGGCAATTATCAAAACTGGAATGCTGAATGCATCTGCTCCCATGACCTCCTCTCTTGGGCTTATCAGGTAGCTCATGGCATGGAATATCTATCGAGGAGAAACGTAAGAATATTTATACAAAACAACTACTCGTACATACTTTGTCTTTTACTTCACTAATGTTTCTACGTGTACAGATTTTACATTGTGATTTGGCTGCCAGAAATATTTTGCTATCTACAAATAACATCGTCAAGATTTGTGACTTTGGTTTGGGCCAGACGTTGTACAAAGACATCAATTATACGAGGCTACACGATGTAAAATTGCCGTTCAAGTGGATGGCCATCGAATCCCTCAGGGACAGAGTTTTTTCGACTGAATCCGACATTTGGTCATTTGGTATTGTGATCTGGGAGTTTTTTACTCTTGCAGAGACACCATACCCAGGCATGCAAGCCTCAGTAGTATATCAAAAACTCATTGACGGATACAGGATGGGCCAACCAAGATATACAACAAAATATCTGTTAGTGAAAAAAAGCACTTGTATGTAAAAAGTTTATCTTTTAAATTATTAATATGTTTTATTTATATATTTCTCAGTTACAATATCATGCTCAACTGCTGGGAGGACGAGCCAACTTTAAGACCATCATTCACAAAACTATCCAAAAATATTGGTATGCTTTTAGATAAAAGTACGAGAGAGCACTTTGAGAAACTGTACCAAGAGTATGAGAACATTAATAAGGAAGTGGACTTGAAAAGAGAAAATGATTATTCGACAAATATATCTTTACCATATAAGGTAGCACTTGCCCTACCTCAACAGACTTATGAAAATCGATTGCTGCAGGTTGAAAACCCTATATACTTGTGTTTGAACAATAATGACAGGCTTTTAGCTGACACACCGGGGAAGTTTGATAACTGTTTATGACAAAATCTTAAATGTATGTTTCAAAGAGTTTCTTTTAAAAAACTGTATAATAATTCAGTAATAGAACTAAAATGATATCGTTAATAAGGTGGAATGCCACTTTCAAGAAAAATGGTATTTGATCCGCAGTTAATTCTAAAATTTTATTTCTTAGACTACATTAAAATACGACAAAATGTCACCAGCAGCTTATTAAATAAAAGTTTGCAGAATTATAAAAAAACTACCACATTATAATTCCAATTTTGTTTTACTATTCCTAGACTTATGAACAATTGTATAACAAACTGGAGTTTATAATAAAAATTTGTGCAATAAAGTTTCATTTAAAAGTGTCTATTTTTTTATCTATATTTTAATTTGAAATTTTGTTAAAATCAGATTATTGATTTTTCAAAAATTTGTCGTACATGCCACGATGTTTTGTGTATTTTCATTGTACAGTTTTACATTTTAAATCATAGAATTTCCTAATATTAAATCATGCATCAGTTAATTGTAACATTAAAGTTTTAAGCATAAATTAAAATCAGAAAAGTGCAGTGAGTATTATGTTATATTTTATCATTTTTGTCAGATATGCCACTTATTACTTGTACATTCCTGATAATGTTATGGGTTTGATTGCAGAAAATAATACGTTGATATTCAAAATTATTGATGTATTGGCTATGTTAACTTGCTTTGGGTCGTCAGGTTACTTGCAATCTTCGACTTAACTTAAAAACTGTGGATACTTTTAAAAATTCTTGAATTTATTTATACGAATGATAAAGGATGTTATAATACGAAGTTTAGTTGAAATATTAAAAATGAACTATACACATACATAATTTTAAATGACTCTATTTTTACGAGTACATTAATTTGTTCCAATTTTACCCCTGATTAATCAAGTACGTTGAATTATTATATCAATAAAAATATTCGCATAATTTACGACTATCACCTTAGGTGAGATAAAAAGTATCCTAGGTCTAAAATAATTTTTAATTTAATTTTACAGCATTTATATTCAAAGCTTTACCGTTGATGATATTATTTGTATAGTACATTAATCAGTTCCAATATTGCCCCTGATTAATCAAGTATGTTAAATTATTATATCAATAAAAATATTCGCATAGTTTACGACCGTCACCTCAGGTGAGATAAAAAGTATCCTAGGTCCAAAAAAATTTTTAAGTTAATTTTACAGCATCTATATTCAAAGCTTTACCGTTGATGATATCATTTGTATATGCCCAGCATATCGTACCTAACATACCATTATAGTTTCTTTATTTTTGACAGTCCCAGAAATTAAAACTAATTTAATCAAGTTCATCATATTAATAACAACATTGAAACCAATATAGTTAAATAAATTAGATTGATGTAAATAAGGGCTTAAAATTTTAAGGTGAATGATTTTGCTAATATAGCTGCGCGAAATCTGCCTTTATTGAAATGTTTTTTTTTTTTTTTAATTTACCATACAATTGTAGCACTGTTTAAGTACAATAAAGCTTATACTTATAGTTACCGAAGATCTCAGTCTATTAAACTATTATTATTGTTTAAGCGTTTAGTTTACCAGGACGTTCTTAAAACAAGACAAATACAACAAACATAAAAATAATATTCTTCAGAAATGTAAAATGCAGCCGCTTTCACTATTGAACATGTTAGAATAAGCGTTTGACGATTACTTTTAGTTTTTAACCGAGTAACTCCGTCAGTAGTGTAAATTCTGTTATGCTCCATTACTTTAAATTAAGGTTCCAATTAACATAATGTACTTTCATTTCATCCATAAAAGGTTAAATTAGTTTTTGATAATTTCCATGTAACTGAAATACTTGTAAAGCATTTTAAAGTTTGACTTGGTCATTAAAATACGTCTAACAAATGCGTAGCTTATTAAACTGGGGGTAATTAAAACGTGTTGCTAAGCGCATAGCAGCGATAGCTACACGTAAATCACAAAAAAAGTGGCTCCCAAGGTGGTAACAACTTGCTATTATTCTTATTGTAATTCATTACTAATTCGTATTTTGATATATGTGCTTCTTCACGGTTACACATTTAGAGTTAGTGCATTTTCACGTATATTAACCTTCTTGCCTTTTCATAGTTTATCCAGCATATTGCTTGAAAATTCGATCATTTTGCAATTGTAACGTTTAATCATGGAAATTATGAGTATTTCTATTATGCAAGTTAAAGGAAAGTTGCAGGGAGTAAAAAAAATTTCTAAAAAATGGCTAGAATGGTTCTCGATACTGCACTGGACGGCACTGTTCCTTAATATCTTCCTATTTTCAGGTAAGTTCTTTTACAGTAATCTTAATAAACTCTCGAGTTACCTGCGTTATTGCAGCTGATGCAAATCTTAAATATTTTCATGCTCATAAACTTAACTGTTATTGAGTAAGAATAAATTTAAACAGTTAATGATGTGCCTGAGTTTCTTTTGTGTCTGTGTGTAATAAAGGAGCGTTTTTTTTTTTTAATAATTGTAACCAAGCGACATTTAAAAAAAGACTTTGCTCTAACGTTTTTATTAAGAAAAAAATGGAATGTTTCTAATATTCCGTTCTCCTAACTAATTTAACTACATTCATTTTATAATGGTAAAATCTTTAAGTGATTCAAAACGTATTACATTATGCAGTCCGTTCAATAACTTTACTAATAGTAGCTTGCACCACAAGGTAAAATTATTCGATCATAATTCAAAACGTCCTGTTAACAAATATGAAGAATATGCTCATTTTATACAGTTAACAGAATTCAAACCTAACACGTAGTTCAGCAGAAATGCATCTTATATTTCAAAATCCATCCACGAAGTGCATTGATTATTCTGAAGTCAATATGTCCTAGTATTTCATTATAATGATTCAATGTTACGAGAAACTAAAATAGTTTAAATAGTTGATAGAAGGCTACTTAAAACACTTCATACGAAATAAAACTCACAGGATGGTTACTTTGTACATGATAAGTATAACTGATGAGCATTCCATAAGTATAGTAATATTAATATGTGGTGGTAGTGAATGAAGTTTGTTAGAAAATTTATAACGAAAAAGTCTACAAATTGATATGGTTTACTCATAAGTAAGAATTTTTTTATGGGACACCTGGGCCATGCATTAATTGGAGACTAAAAGTTTTTGTATTCATGGTTATGAATTTCATACAGTTATAGATTCCTAATTGGTGGACTTTTTTCTTTCGTTACTAACTGCTAGGTGCGTAGCACGCAGTGCCTCCAGCACAGCGTCAAAAAAGTGAAACTCAAGTGCCAAAATGTGTGCAGTTGACAGATGAGAGATAAAACTTAAAAAACTTTGCGGGTCAGAACAGTTTCGAGATAACTCAACAAGTATATATATATATGCACGTTGATAGCGTCGTTTGCAAGCTTTCGCGACCAAGTTGCACTAAATTCTTACCGTGGACACTTAGATCATTTTGCCTATCCCCTAAACCACCTACATCTATAGTGAATAGATGACGTAATAAAACAAATTCATAACTATTTATAAAAATCTCTAGTAATGTGATACACACATATTTGTAGGTATGTAAAGATATGAAGATAAATATACATGAACAGATATGCAAAAGCTAAAGCGTTGGTAAAAAATCTTTGATGTAATCTTAAAAACTATAAACACAATAGTACTAGAGTAATAAAAATTCAATAAATGGATAATAAACAACTTAAACTAATAACAAATTAGTTGCTGATGGATTTTATTTGCGTCATTTTCAACAGTTTGCATACTGTAAGAAGTTGGCTCTAACAATAGTTTTTTCTTACACTTTTTAAAAACGGGGTCCAAAAATCTGCCATGAGCTCCTAATATATAAACCCGAAACTGTAAATTTACTTAAGATCTCAATTTTCGACATATGCGTATCTAAACACTGTGGAAGTACGTTGCAGTGTACAACAATGGGCAGAACATATATTTAAACGGGTCTCCCTATACACTGAAGCTTGAACAAATTTTTACGCCATAATTTATAATTACAATTTTTTGACGTGATTTCATTTTTCATAACTCCGATTTGTATATGCATTACCTCTTATTAATAAAATATCATAATTATCAATGTTTGTACATGTAGGTTGCGATGGTGATAAGCCCCAGCTTTCTCCCAACGTCACTGAGTTGGTAATAAACGAAGGAGAAGCCTTGGAAATCAAATGCACAAGTAATGAATATGTGAAGTTCTATTATCCATATCCTTCTTATCTATGGAGTGTAAGTTGAACAGTTTTAGTATACAAATATTGTTAAATAAATTAGGTTGATGTAAATTAGAGCTTAAAATTTCAAGGTGAATGATTTTGCTAATATAGCTGCACAAAATCTGCCTTCATCAAAATGTTTTTTTTTTTTAATTTACCATATAATTGTAGCACTGGTTAAGTGCAATAAAGCTAATACTCATACTTACCGAAGACCTCAGTCTATTCAACTTTTATTGTTGTTTAAACGTTTATTATACCAGGACATTATAAACACAAGACAAATCCAACAAACATTAATATAATATTTTTGATAAATGTAAAATGCAGCTGCTTTTACTATTTAACATGTTAGAATAAGCGTTTAACGATTACTTTTAGTTTTCAACCGAGTGACTCCGTCAGTAGTGTAAATTCTGTTATGCTCTATTACTTAAAATTAAGGTTCTTATTAACATAATGTACTTTTATTTCATTCATTAAACGTGAAATTAGTTTTCGATAATTTCCATGTAATTCAAATACTTGTAAAGCATTTTAAAGTTTGACTTGGTCATTAAAAGAATTCAATATGTCTTATAAATGCGTAGCTTATCAAACTGAGGGTTGTTAAAACGTGTTGCTAAGCGCATAGCAGCGATAGCTACACTTAAAGCACAAGAAAAGTGGCTCCCAAGGTGGTAACAACTTGCTTTTATTCTTAATGTAATTCATTACTGATTCGTATTTTAATATCTGTGCTTCTTCACTGTTACACATTTAGAGTTAGTGCATTATCACGTATGTTCACCTTTTTGCCTTTTCATAGTTTGTCCAGCATATTGCTTGGAAATTCGATCATTTTGCGATTGTAATGTTTAATCATAGAATTATGAGTATTTCTAGTATTCAAGTTAAAGGAAACATGCAGGGAGTAAAAGAAAGTTCTAAAAACTGGCTGGACTTGTTTTCGATACTGCACTGGGCAACACTATTCCTTAGTGTTTTTCTACTTTCAAGTTAGTAGATTTACAATAACTATAATTAATCTGTACGATAAATCAGTTAGCTATAATACTAGTAAAAACTATCACTATAAGAAGGTCGAATTGTGGTTTACGCTACAATGTGCAATTTTTGCTAAATACTTGCTAACGTTCTATTAATTTCATTAAAAAAATGAGCTTATTTTATATTATTATAAGTGATGCAGCTCAAACTCGTAATTTAGCAGGCATGCATCAAATATTTAAGAACAGCTAACTCTATTTATGGAGTATGTAGACTATTGCAGGATTATCGTTGAAAAATAGTAATCATTATTTATTTAAATGTTATAATTAATTTTTTTTTTCATTACTCGTTATACATAACATAGTAAAACAAAATCATAACTGTGATTAAAAGTACCTAGTAATATGATACGCACATTCGTAGACTTAGAGAGAAATCTAAATTAATAAAGATATCAGGATGATAACTAATGGACTATTATGCAAAAGTGAAAGTGCAGAAATTAAATTATTGTGTTAAATAAAAGCTACAAAGATAACGGTACCAAGATCAAGAATAAATTCTAATCAATGGAAAATAAAGAACTGAAACTATATTACCAGGACTGTAAACTTTACTTGATAACGCCATATTTGACCAACAGAAAACAATCTAGCAATAAACTTTTAAAGTTACCGCTCCTTAATTTAATGCTATAACATATGGAAATGGAGAAAAGTAAATGATATTACGAATAGTGGTATAACTAGAAAATAATTTACAGTAATTTATGAATTTATGAATGTTCCTTCTCAAGCGTACACAAATTTTCTCTCTACCCACCATAATAAACAATTATAATTATTTAACGTGATACAACTTTTGTTAACTCTGTTTTATAAACACATGGTCTCTAATTAAAAACTTATACGATACACATCAACATTCAAACGTACAGGTTGCAATGGGGATAAACCCCAGCTTCATCCAAACGTTACTGAGTTGGTAATAAATGAAGGAGAAGCCTTGGAAATAAAATGCACCAGTAATGAATATGTTAAATTCTATTATCCAGATCCTCGGTACCTGCGACGTGTAGGTTAAATAGATTCCATGCACAATAATTTTTTCAAACTGTTATTTTCTTAAATAAATACCAGTATTTTTACAATATTATCAATAGATAAGGATGTCTGATTATAAAATTTACCCAAACCAAATGAGCAGAAATAAAACGTTTTTGAAGAATTCAACTATCGTTGGAGACTCTGGCTGGTATGGTTGCGCTAATGTTGAAAAAAAAATCTCACACACGTCAATTAAGGACTTGAATGATCTAAGTATTAGTTGGATGTATGTTTATGTTAAATGTAAGAATTTAAGCATTAACGTATTTTAAAATGAATTTTTCAACACCATAATTTCACGTAATACTACACAACTGCTGAAAAATGCATGTGTAATAATTCAGTGTATTTTTCACGCAGCTGAAAAAAATGCTTTTATCCAACCAAACTTGTATGCACTACTGACACCTATTGGATGTTTACCTTATTATGCTATTATTCCGTGTCGAACGACGTCTCCCCGAATCAACGTGAGGCTAACATCAAGTGATGCTGTAATATTAACTATTCCTTAAAACTTTCGTACACAAAAATTAAATCCTAAATTAATGTTTTATTTTACATTAGGCCTTGCAGGGAATTGTAAACAGGAATGCTTTTTTCGATCCTAAAATTGGTTTTGTCCTGAAGAATCTTAGTTTCTATAGTCCTGAAAAAGGATTTCCCAGTTTAACGTGTAAAGCTTATGATGGTGATATTACGACCAAGATGATGAAATTTCGTGGAAGCTATTATTACAGTTGCATGAGTAAACCAACTGTAAAAATAGAAGGACGGCAGACAGTTTTGGTGGGCTCTCCATTGACTGTTACCTGTACAGTTAAAATCTACGTAGAAAGTTCTAACATTATCTCCTGGAAAACTCCACAAAATTCGGTAAGAGAATTTTAACTTGTGTATGCACAATTCCACAATTCTTACAGCCATTCATACAGTAATTAAGAGTGTGTATATTATACCATATTTAAACGCTTTTGGAAACTATTTAATAAGTATAAGGATTAGTCCTCCAAATTAATTTTAGACCAGATGCAAGTGGCAGAATATGACAACGTTGATTCCATAACATCCAAACTTATCATAAAAAATGTTACTTATGCGGACAAGGGTAATTACACTTGCCAAGTAAGATCTTCGTTTGATGAACAACGTAGTACAAACATATTTATAGAAGTACACGGTACGTTTTATGAATCAGTAAATTTGAGAATTTTTTATAAATATGAAAGCAAAAACTTAAGTTTGTTAAACGTATCTCTTGTTACAGATCAAAATTCTTATATTTCCCTAACATCTAATAACAGAGACATAGCTTATAGCGTTGGTCATGTGTTGTTGCTTACAGTTAACATTGATGCTTATCCACCACCAACTATCTCGTGGTAATAGTTGCACTTTAATACAATTATAAATGTGTATTAAAAATCAAATATTCAGTGAAACTTTTAGTATTAAAGATTAAATTTTTTAGGCTTACATCAAATGGTACCGAAATTGTTTTTGGGAAAAATTTCCGTTTGCCTCAATTTAAACGACAATATCCGAAGTATCCAGAGAGTAATTTAATGATATTTAATGTTCAGTTGAAAGATGAGGGAATTTATACTTTCCGAGCAAACAATACAAATGTAATAAAGCTCTTGAATTTTTCAGTGAAAGTTTACGGTAATTTTATTAAAATTCTTACTGCCATACCCTTTAATGGAAAAACATTATACTTGCAAAGCCCATTTTTTATGTAAATAACAAATTTGTTTCCGTTTGCAGAAATGGCTCGTGTTATATTAAATCAAGCAAAACCTAAGTCCTTTTACAGTCTTAACGAAAGTGCAACGTTTACTTGCCAAGCCACTGGCCATCCTACACCAAATATATCATGGTTTTACAAAATGTGCCCAGATTATTCCATGTTTTTTTCTTTGTATACTTGTAAAACAGTAAAAATGAAGGTTTGCTTTGTTTATATATATATACATATATATGAGTGCATGAAAAAAT